GGCCCTGTTGACAGCAGTGGGCTTCCGTCTCGACTCTGTGGGCACCGGTATGCCCTCAGCCGTCTTCTTTCCCACTGCTGATCCAGGAGACAGGCTGCAGCAGTGCAGCACCACTTTGCAATCATTACTGGGTATGCACCTGAGAGTTGTTCTAGTGTTTTGCTTGATGGGTGATCATGCGTTTTTATAGGATTGTTTTTACGGTTGTTTCCCAAAAGGTTTTGGCATCTGTGCTTGTAACATTTAATATCACTCCACGGGTCACATGTTAAGTCCTAATTTGGAGTATAAAGAGTGTGTCTCGTGGATAAATAATTAGGAATTTCCTTTGATCCCCCCCCTCCACCTCCTCCCTCAGGTCTGCCACCGCCAGCTCTCCAGGCTTTGTGCAAACTCATCACAGCTTCAGAGGCAGGAGAGCAGCTCATCAATCGGGTAGGCCCCTGCAGCTCTGAGCCAACGCTGCTGGATTTGTTACATCTATTGCACTAGATTTAAATTGGTCTTTAGCTCAACCACAAACACCATTGATATTATTAAGTATTAGCTATTGCACTTTCTCCAACACCTTTACATGCTCAATGTGCTGTGTGGCTCTTGCTAGACAGGAATATCAGGGGTATGTTTGAATGTGTGAATTAGTTACATCAAGACACGCCAACACTCTGGCGATTCAAGCTGTGGCTTTAATCTGCGCTGAAAAGCAGCATGAAAGCCTAACAAGCAGTACTGCAGGTACTAGGTTTTAACTATAATCAGAGGCCTGTTCTCTTGCACCCAAGCTCGTGACACCGTAGAGAATTAACATTGCCCCTTTATCCCTCTTAAAGTGTAACAAGTGTAAGAATGTGAGTTGGTGATTAGTTTGTGTTGCCTCATATTGCCAATTGTGGTCTCCGTGCACAACATTTTTGACATTTCCAACCTAATGAATGTATCGCTGATCGCATAAAATCTATTCAACACCTGTTACTTATTACTGCTGTGCTTCTTGTTGACTTAATCCCTTGTCACCTGTGTGAAAGTCCGTTATGCATGCAATTAAAAGCTTTCTTTCTCTCCCCTGCTCATAACGTGCTGTCTGAAGGCTGTTAAAAATATGGTGGCAATGGTAAGTGTGGCCTCACTACCTGCACTCCATCCCATTCTACTCCTTCGCTCTACTCTCCTTTCTGTCCTGCTAAACTAAAATACATCCCCTTGCGCAAAAGCTGCATGAAAATTTGGTAATAAATTGTGTTGTTTTTGCCCCGTTTAGCATAGGTGTGCATAAAGTGTAGCCGGCCATGTTCCTAACGATTTAGTTGCCGGTTCCCTGCACTCAGGTATTTTAAGAATTATAGGATTTACAACACTGGTTCATTACAGGTCAGAGGAATGTTTCAGGGTGATATAAGGGATAATGCCGCTCACAGTTATAAAGAATGAAATGAGCGGGCAGGGCATGTTTGTACTTTCAGAACAGTTACATCATGTTGACAAAGGTTGCTCTGTACCAGTAATCCCAAAACAAGAAATGAAAGTGTGATCGCCGGGTACTTGTAAATCCTCATTAAGCTGACACCCTTTCAGCTCTGCTTCCCTCCAGATGTTGTTTTTCCCTGAGTGCTCACGAGCAGGACTCAAACATGTGAAGAAACGGGCCCATACCTACTCCATGAAATATGTTTACATTAGTTTCACAATAACATGGGGCAGCCATTACTTTTAGTCCTTGAGGGATTTATATCTTTATAGAATAGAAATAGTTTGCTCTAACAAAATCATGTTACCCACTGATTAATTAATTAATTCCCAAGTTAATTGTATTCTAATCTTTCCTCTATTCCTAACCATTGTACTGCTTTTTTCCCTATTTGTCTTCTGCAGCTCCACCAGGTACTAGTGCAACTCCAGACCGGAGAGAAAGAACAGGATTTCTCCCTGCTGCCCATTCAGGTGTCCATCAGTGTGCAGCTGTGGAGACTGCCAGGATGCCATGAATTTCTGGCTGCTCTCGGTGAGTCAGCTGCTAACGATGAAAGCTGTCCACACACCATGCATCACTTCATGGCTCCCTATGGACTGCACATTTTACAAGTTACAATTGTTGTTCCCATTGTGTGTGTTCAGGATTTGACTTGTGCGAGGTTGGCCAAGAAGAAGTGGTTTTGAAGACAGGCAAGCTGGCCAACCGCCGCACCTTGCACTTTGCTCTCCAGTCTCTGCTGGCGCTGTTTGGTAAGTATGATCACATGCTCATGTTCACTGTATTAGTTATGTTTTTTCAGTCGTTTGACCGTACATTGTGTAACATTTCGCATTTCTTTCCTGTCTCTTTGTTCAGACTCCACAGAACTGCCCAAGCGTCTGAGCCTGGATAGCTCATCTTCCCTTGAGTCTCTAGCTTCGGCTCAGTCTGTGTCCAACCCCCTTCCCATGGGATACTCCAGCCTTCCCTTCTCTCCTCCCTGCCTGGACAATCAGGCATCCGATGCAATCTCTGTCTATAGCCTAAGTTCTGTAGCCTCCTCCATGAGCTTTGTATCCAAGTCAGAGTGCGACTTCCTCGGTCATCGGCAGCGCGGTGGGGCCACAGCACACTACTCTATCCACAAACACCCTCATGTTCCCCGTAGTCGCTCCTCTCCTCACGGGGCAGCTGCCTCTGCGGTGGCGGGAGCGCGGGGAGACGACGAGGAATATGAGGGCTTTTCCATTATCAGCAGCGAGCCTCTGGGAAGCCACTGTGACTCTCTGCCCCTGCCGCCGGGCCACAGCCAGCGGCATCACCGTGGAGGACGGGGGTTTGTCGGTGGGTCCAGCACAGGAGCAGGGAGAGGCTACACTGTATCAGTATCGTCGAGGGGCAGCGTCAGCACCCCCACGTCCCCTGTGAAAACGTGTCTGGTGGCCAGCCCAAACTCGCCGTTCCAGAAGGTTGCTAAGGTGAGCAGCTCCGATACCGGTGAATCCGACCAGTCCAGTACCGAGACGGACAGCACTGTGAAGTCTCAGGAAGAGAAAATCGTCCCTCTGGATCCTCAAGAGCTGGCGCAGAAAATTCTTGAGGAGACTCAGAGCCATCTGCGGGCCGTAGGCAGTTTACAGCGGGCCGGGCCAGAGGGTGCGTCGGCCGGAGGCACTTCAGCACGGAGCAGCGCCTTCCGTTCGTCTGAAACGAGCGCATTCAGCCGTCCTAACAGCAGTGCAAGCGGCAGAGCTCAATCTTCCCCGAGGCCCAAACCTCCGTCCCGCTCCTCTTCACTGCAGAAGATCAGCTCTGGCTACAACAGTCCCGCAATGTCCGAGTCCTCCCAAAAGGAGGGCAGCCACCCTTCGCCCACGCTGGACAGCCACGCACAGTTCAGATTGAAGTACCCAAGCTCCCCATACAGCGGCCACATCTCTCGTTCCCCGAGCAATGTGTCGCCCAGCTCTGGTCACCAGTCCCCGTCTGGCAGTGCTCCATCCCCGGCCCTGTCGTACTCCTCGACGGGCTCTGCCTGCTCTACATCGACCGATGTCCCAGCCTTGGACCGGCTAAGAAGAGGAGTCATTGATGAAAAGGTCCAGGCTATCCACAATCTGAAGACCTTTTGGGCTAATGCTGCAGCCCAGCAGCAGCAGCATCTAGGTCCGGTCCGAGCCGTCCACGGTGGTCCCGGTCCCCTTGCGTCTGCCAGTAGAGATGTACTGAGCCTTCTGAACCTCTCTCCACGCCATTGCTCTCCTAATAATACCCAAGACAGCCTGGAGCTGCGGGAGCTGGGGCTGCAATCACTGGATAGGGGCAGCAAGAACAATGGACACCACTGCTCTAACCCTGGAAAAGTGGCCCCATCCCCTACTATCTCCACAAGCAGTAGCCCCGGCGCTCGTTCAATCCGACTACCTGCTGGGAATGGATACAAGTTCCTGTCGCCTGGAAGATTTTTCCCTTCCTCTAAATGCTGAGACAATTGAAACAGTCCTATACTTTTATCTATCTATTATTTACTATTCTGTGCGAGTAGGGCACTTTTTGATGGCCACTATTGGTCCACCAAGCTTGACTGACAATGAGATGGATTTTATTGGTCAATGGGTGCGATCCTGAAGAGGCACATGAATGCTTTAGAGAGTCTTGTCTTTGTGCCCATAAAACTGTAAATGGCAATGAGAAATACTCAGACCTGATACTGTGTTTGTGTGTAACTGTGTGTCAGGTAGATGTAAATGCCATTTGGTATTTTTCTTTGCTGTTTGTGTGGGCCAAGATGCAACAGCTATGACTGATTTCCTCCATTCTATTTTTGTTGTTAAATTGAATGGTTATTGTTTGTTATTGTTATTAATATTATGATAATTATTATGTTTTGTAAATTAATTTCAGTGTTTCACAATCAGTATTAAACGTTTTATATTATTAAAAAAGTGAACAAACCTGTACCTTGTAAAGACGGATAGACTGCGGAAAAAAAGATTTAATATTTTTTATTGAAATCAAAAGGGCATTTTGCCTGATTTCTTTGTGAATTGAGTGTCTGCTCTGAAGCATGGATTCTCTTGCTATTCAATGTTAAGTACCATGTATGACTTTTTAGCCCATGATTTTTTTAGATTAATCATGAAGTTTCACGACAACCATCTGTCATTTACCAGTAAACCGTTTCAATAAAAAAAACATGTTTTCATTCTTGTGTTTCTGACTTTACAGTCTGTTAATTGGCGACATTGTCAGCCAAGCGATGAAAGGATGGATGAAATGATAGAATATCATAGATGGAGTGAAGAAATACAAGTTACGTCCCAAGAAACAGTCGATAGAAGATAGAAATTCAAAAAAACACCTTTCTGACTCTCAAAGGAAGCTTTGCTTCTGCTTTTTTGGTGTAAATGTTGAAGATGATGCTGCATTTCTCCAGATGTGCAATAGGCGGGTTAAAACCCGCCAGTAAGCCATTCTATTGGATGATATGAATTGGCATGCCCGCCGGTGCCTGCTTCTGCAAATCACCGCTCACGAGGGAGGGGCCGACACAGCCCCCAGCGGCCCATGACGTCAGCAGCAATCGGCGGCCGCTTCTGGGCAGTAACGGGCGCATCTAGAGGAGGAAGCTGCGATGAGCCTCATCAAGGAGTAGTAAGTTTCTGGTTTAACGCTTTTCAAATGTGTTTTTTGTAATCAATTGAGATCGCATAGTGACAAATCCCGCGCGTCGGGACAGATTTTCCCCGTGATTTTTTACAAATGAAAAGTTTTCCATCTCGTGTCAGACACGCGAGGGCAGGGTGGGATTGCTCAAGAGCTGCCGTGGCCTTCGGTACCGGTGTTTACAGCGGTGTGCCGCTGTGTGACAGCTGCTGTTAAGCGTAGTCTTCCCTGCGTGCCCGCTTTTAAGTAAAGTGTGCTGGCTTCAAAACTATTCAGTCCGAGGTGTGCGCTGTGTGTGTTTTGTGTGTGGGGGGAGGAGTACTGGCATTTGGCGTTTATAAAACTTTAACGTTACAAAGTATGTAACTTAAGCTAGGGCTTAGCTCATGCTAATGCTAGCAGACGCTGCGTTACACCTAACGGTACGGCGCTAACACAACTGGAAGCCACTCAGCGCGGCTGGTGTTATCTGCGGAACATTGACACGTACACTCGTGGCTGAGCCGACCATACTTCTGTCTTAAGCCTTAGAGGCTTTAATTAATGGCGGATACGCTGTTTTTTCTCTCGTGTCAAACCATTCCTTCTAGCGTTACTGGCGTTAGCATGCTAGCGGTAGTGGTGTGCAGGTAGTGCTAGCTAGCTGTTAGCTGCGCCTGTTAAGTTGGGTCAAAAGACGCTCGTGTTGTTACAGCTATTATCAGTAAAACACATTTACGTCAAACTTCAGAAGTAAACTAATTTAGTCGCGACTTAAATTGCACATTTGGTCAAATGTTTTCTTGTTGGACTGGAGTGTCCTGAAGTGTTTGGCTGCTTCTTTTTAGCTTCTCCATCGGTAAAATAATTGGTCTGTAGATCGAGGCAGGAAGTCCTGTGGCAAAGGAACGTAACCCCATGTTCACAGCTCTGATTAATGTGATACATATTTAATTAACCAGCTCCACGTTTAGGGTAATGCCTTTCGCTTGATGAAATGCTGGGAAGATGGACTTCACTTTGCTCACCTGATCCTGAGGAACTGTCCACTGTATTTCCACCGTACCCCCCTTCCGGCTCCCTTTAGCTGCTGTTTTGTTTAATAAACACGTGGCCTTAAAAGTTACTTTTATTTTTACATGATGCAGCGGTTGTGGTTATACCTAATGTAAAGTCCATATCGCTAACTTATTTTCTCCCCTTTGTTGGCTGCTGTTCTCCCCCTTTTAATTGTTTGGTTGCATCATTGTACGGCATTTTCTTCTCCAAACATGTTGTACACTTTCTACAACTGAAAATCCTGAAAGAGACAAATACAATGGCCCTTTCATCCATCAGATTGAAGCCAATCAAGCTTTTGTGGCTATCAGATCCCGACTTTATAATAGCAGCGTGTGTCGGTAAGCAGAAAAAGACATTGACATTATTTGCACAGGGTTACGCTGTTGCACCCTCAAATTGTATGTCTATGAGAAAATGACTGTTATCTGAGTAAACATTGTAAGTATGAGTTTATGGTCTGAGTTGTAAATGTCTTCCTCAGTACAGTATGATGTTCATTGTTTTAAATTATGTTCTGTTTACAGTCACACCATAAAGCAGGTCATGCTCTTATGGCAAACGTAATTTCATTAACACATCGCTACCGTCACTAAATCACTCCTCTCACATCCAGATACCGTAACTTCCATGCATTGATTGCAAAATAGCCAAGATGGTGACGGCCGTATTCTGAGATGACAATCACCCTATTTGAAGGCGTTGCAGTCCGCAAACCAGATGGTGACGTCTGGATGACTGCGTCCACTTCTTACATGCAGTCTATGATTTACGCCAGCGTAAACACGTGCATCGTGTCTGTGTAGAATACAGCTCTTGTTTCTGGCAGATGCTTTGAAAGAAATTCATCCCTGAATTATTTCCTTCTGCACTGTGTCATTTGTGGTCGTTCACTGAAGCTTTATATTTATAGTAAATTAAATAAATGACATTGGTGTAAAGGATGTCATTGGTTTGGGGATGCCGCACCCTGCAGAAAGGCCCGCCGCCAGCGGTCCTAAACTATGCAAAACGTCAATACTGTAACAATTTTCTAAATAAGTGTTTTTCAAACCGCTGCACCTGTTGATCCTGCTCTGTGCAATGTCTTGGTCCAAAATTGCTCACTGTGTGTAAATCTTTTAAATCTTTTTTTCATTAGATTTTTTATCATTCCGCTGGTTTGGTGGTTCTTGTCTTTGTGATGTCAGCAGTGTGTTGACAAGGGGCACTATAGTTTTTACTTCTGTGGGAGTGACATTAACTTTCTTCCTCTCTGTACTAGTGAGAAGGTTACTGTGTATTTTTGAGGGTATTTTGAACGTGTGGCTATGGAATTAATGCTGCTTCTACTATGGTTTATTAAGTACATTACATTAACTCCTTGTTCTGTTCTTTGCCAGATTATGTTGTGTTTGATAGTAACGCTGTATTTGTTTACCATCAAATACCATTACAAGTCTCTTAAAGTGTTTTCTCTCTTGCAGCCGTGTGGTTTTACCCTGTACTGTTGAGGAGGTGAGCATTTTAGTCTCCCTTATTACAAAATTAATAATGTTGTAAATGGCTGTGGTTTTAATTTATCCGTTAGTGTCTGGGTTAATTAATTCTTAATTCTCTTGTACGTTTTTACCTGTGTTTTCATATTATAAATGACAAAAACTAAGCTTAAGTGCAGTGAAGAGAGCCATACATTCCAAATACGCCAGTCAGCGCACAAGCTGTGACATTCTAGCCTTTGTTTCTCTTACGCTTGTCTCTAGCAGAATTAAAACCGTCTGACAGCGTTTGATGAAATAAATTAGTCGGTTTGCCATTACTTTTAAATCTCAGTCCAATAATTGAAAAATTAGTGTTCTCTTTATAGTGGTCCAAATGAGCACTTTATTTTGGTGTGATCCCGGCTGTACAGTGTGTGACTGATGTATATTTTGTGTCAAAGTATCAAGTGGGACAGCTGTTCTCCGTGGCTCAAGCAAGTAAAAATGAGACGGGTGGTGGTGAGGGCATCGAGGTTCTTAAGAATGAGCCCTATGAAAAAGACGGAGAAAAAGGACAGTACACACACAAAATCTACCACATAAAGAGGTACGTGTCTTTTTTATTACTCATGTCATTTTTTTACCATTTCAAAATGTAATTGCTCTGTGCGTCCAGGTAGTGGCAGTACTGTCATACCTTTTGCTCTCCTTTTGTCAAGTTTTTCATCTCTTCCCTTTCTCCATTGCTCACTCCCGTCCTCCTGACCCACGCAACAGCAAAGTCCCGGCGTTTGTCAAAATGTTTGCTCCCGAAGGCTCCCTGGTATTCCATGAAAAGGCCTGGAATGCTTACCCCTACTGCAGAACCAGTGAGTCCCCCGGCCCATGTCCCCTTACCTCTGCTCTACCTGGGACCCTTTGTCCTCTCCCTTGTTAAATACCCCTGTGTCACCTGCACCGTGCCTTAGTTGGGGGGGGGGGGTGTAGAGGTCTTGTTTTCTTCTATATGTAATGGTTCTTGTTTCCCTCCTTTCTCCTTATGTCCAACCCTGATGCAGTCGTCACGGTAGGACGTCTTAAATGGCCTTTTATGTTGCATTGTTTTTATAAGATCAAAATATTACCTCACCTAAGTTAAGCTGTTTTTTTTTGTTTTTCTTTGTCATCGTCTCCGCACCTCCTTCCTCTAGAATGAGTATATGAAAGACAATTTCTTCATTAAGATTGAGACATGGCACAAACCAGACCTTGGAACACAAGAAAACGTAAGCATCTCTGCACCTCATCACGTGCGTATCCATTTTCCATTACAGTCTGTGTGCTGTTCTTACTTGTTTGTGTCTTTGTTCAGGTGCACCAACTAGACGGCGCCACATGGCAGAATGTCACTGTTGTGCCCATTGACATTGCAGACCGAAGTCAAGTGTCCACTGCTGTAAGTGAAAACCCTCTTAAGACAAGAATGCAGTTTGGTGCCTTCATGTGGACGAGCCCCAACATTACCGAGCTGTCTGACCAACCCAGTCCACCTTTCAGTTGGCAGATTTTAAAATGCATTAGCTTAACTTTCCTTCTATGTCGATTCATTTTGGAGAATCAAATAGCCAGGGGGCGCAATAAATGATAAACAAGTATTTACAATTATATCTATTCTAGCATTAAGTTCTATTTGTATTTAGAATTTCTTTCTGTGATCTATATCCCAGAAGAAAAAAAAATGTTTTAAAATTATTTTAAATGTAAACATCTGTGCATTATTACATGGAGCTGGAATCTTCCACTGTAAGATACTTTTATTCAACAGATTAGTTGGTATATATTGAAATTGTTGTTGGATTATATGTTCATTGATAGAATTGTTCCACTTACATCATCATCATCTTTCTACTCACTGATTCGCCATAGCAACGCTAAATTATTTGTATTCAGCTTTTGACGACACTCATTGAACCGTGCTGGAATACATCCAGGTATTTGTATCAGGTAGAACAGCGTTATTGGAACTAATGGAGCCGTGGCTTGAAATGTATTTTTGTAAAATGTATTACCAAAAGGTGGAATACCATGAAACACTAACCTGTCACTGATGGTTGATGGCAACAACAGGCAGCAGAAAATCACATTAGACGGTTGGAGTAGATTGATTTAATCATTTCATTATGTTTTCGTGCAGCGCCTTGAAATCTTTTGAAATCATCACAAAACCACACGCACCATTTGAGCATCCCAAGATTGCCTCAACGATTTCAAAATGCAAACATGAGTTTTTGATACTCTGAAATCTTATTTGAAGATGTTACACATTATTGCTGTTGTTTGACATCACATTGCCTCATTTCACTGTGGCTCGGTGTGTGTGTCTGCGGCTATTGGGCTGAGAAGCGTTGCTTTCTGTGAGTGTACGTGTTTGTTTGTGGTGGGTAGTTAGCGAGGCGGAGGTGTTTGCCTTGCTGGAGGAGTGTGTTGTGTCAGAGGACCCCATCAGCCCTCAGCCTCGGGCATGGCTGCAGGGCCTCGGGCGCAGATGAGTTTGTTAGTGTAATTAAGGCTCACAGTGCTTCGCATCCCGTAAATGCGCACGCGCGCACGCACACAGGACACAAACTCATTCGCACTCTTGACACACACTGTTTTACTTGTGGAGTAGCTTCTTTTTGTCTACCATGGTGTATCGATTCACAGACCTCATTAGTGCAGCACAGTGTATTGTTGTGTTTGAGCGTGCTGCGTGCACACACACACACACACACACACACGCACACGTGGCACCCTGCTGTTGGCCGATAGCCCTGAAAAGTAGCTTTTAGCTGCAGGCGCACCATGATTTATTTAAAATTGCTCGGCCCTTGAGCTGTTGATAATTTGAAAGCTATTTCATTTATTGGTATTACTATTTATTTTGCCTCTTAAGTCAACGTTGTCATGTGCTTAGCATACAGTACCAGTCAAAAGTTTGGACACATTTTCAATTGAATGAGAAACTTTTGACTGTTACTGTATGTGCTCAGCATTCTATAGGCGTGAAAATGTTTATTTTTTATTGTCATGTGCAATGGGGAATAATGTAATGAATCATTTAATTTGTTCATATGAAGGGTGCTGGCAGCGTTTGGAGGATCGAGTGTGGTACCTCCAGTGGCTGTGACTTCTGTGCTGCTTGGGTCACAGCACAGCAGCAAACCTCCTTTTGATCAGTGCTAGAAATGAATTAACCGTACACATTTCTCTCACTGTAGGACTACAAACCAGATGAGGACCCTACCAAGTTCAAGTCCGCTAAAACTGGCCGAGGACCTCTCGGGCCCACCTGGAAGGTAACGCCCCTGTGAGCTGTGGAAATGAACCGATTCCCCCAGAAAAATAACAATCCAAAACACAGCAGACTAAACCCACAATTTACACACTGTATACCAGACTATTTGAAAGGGTTTATATACCTGCCCACTGGTATTCACAGAAGAACTGGGTTTCACACCTTTCCCAAAGCATAAAATAAGATACTGTCAGTTTTAGTTAGCTGGGAGGAACACGGAACATCTGTAAATCGGTCTGTAGCAGACTGGCTGGCCCGGGTGACTCTACGCATACACCCAAAGCCTCTGTCGAAAACAAAACACATTTTAGAGAGTGTCGCCAGAAGGTTTGTGGTTTGAGAGCAAACAAATATTGAGCTTTTTGTCTGGTTTTTGGAAGTGGCAACAGCACACTGTAGGGATGCTCCTCTGCAGCAGGTCTTCTGAAGGTAGAGGGTCCAAAGTGAATGTGGCCAAACACAGAGAAACCTTGAGGGAGACCTGCTGCGGTCTGCATGAGAAGAAGATTCAATGTATCAGTGAAACATCAACTACAAACCCAAAGTAAAGCCCGGGCTAACTGCCAAAAAAGAGACCGATGTTCATGTTCCAGGATCTGTAAGGCTCTTATTGAATTTAACCGATATATCTATTTAGATAACGTTTTAACTCGTAGCGCTGTAAGACCGAGTAGGGGGAGGGGTGAAGGAGGGGCAACGCACTGCAGGTGGACATTGAATGTAAATTTGACAAGCGGCAATTCAGTATTAAGACAAATATCCTTTTGATTGAGTGCAATAAGACCATAACATCATCCCTGGGAGGAACGTAGTTGTAATCGCGGCCACACCCCCGCAGCCTCACAAACGCCTCCCGCTCTGCTGTTGGTGCGTTGACACTTTCAGCTTCGCACTGCACCGCAGTCCTCAAAGTTCACCAGGGGAAACTTTTCAAGAACAAAGACAGCTTTAAAAAGTATGAATAAAGAAGCACAACTTTTTTTTATTATTTTGTGTTTTTAATTAGATCACTTTCCCGTCCGCTGTGGACATGCAAAAGGAGTGTTTTTGAAAAGGTGCGGGGGGGGCAGTTATGTGACAACAGAGACACCGTTTCTGCCAGCTTCTCGGAGCAATACAACTCTTGTCTATCTCTGCATGCACACATGCTTGCATATCTGTACCCTTTGTATTTCTGAAAACTTCTGCTCCTTTTGAGCGGGGCACAGAGAGGGAGAGAAGAAATGTCACCGTAAGTGTTTTGATGTCGAATCCGTTTCATGTGAAGTTCTCCTTTAGCGATGACAACTTTTCTAAACCCACTGCAAATTTTAGAAATGTTTCTCATTTCCCCTCTCGCTGGCATCAAACGACGGTGGGATGATGGTGATTGAGGCGGGTCTGTGGCATTTCCTCTCGGAATGCCGAGCCCGAATGCAGTGATTAATTAAACAGGTGTTCTCGGAGGGAAGCGGTGTGTGTTCGGGGGGCGAGGAGGTCCTGGGTGTTAATAATGTAACCGGCTCTGCACCGCGACGCCCTTATCGCTCCGCAAGCACCGTTTTATCTGCCTGCCGTGGCCACAAAGGCGTGCCTTTCGGGAACGGTGTCGCTGTCGGGGCGTAGGCAGAGAAATGGTCCCTTCATCTGGAGTTTATCCACTTTGCTCTGCCCCAGCCCCCCCACCTCCCTCGCCCTCCTCCTCCTTTTTCTTCTATTCTTCAGAGGGAGGCAGAGTGCAAGCGGCGGATGGATTTACAAAGTGTGTTGTAGATTAGGGCGCTTTTATCTCTGCACAGCACATCTTCATATTGATAATTATTTCAGCGAGCTCCATACCCAAAGCATCATAAATGAATGATTTTTAACTTTGAATGCAGCCAAGATTAGTCTTGAATAATAATCTCTCAGCCTTCTGCTCTTTTTAGGATCAGTGTCTCAAGTTTCTGTCAAGTTGTGACTTACTTATTTTGATAGAAAGTTATAAATCCTATCATTCTTGTGCTTTTCTTCTCCTCACAGAAGGAGCTGGCTAGTAAGACCGACTCCCCAAGGATGTGTGCCTACAAACTGGTCACAGTCAAATTCAAGTGGTGGGGTCTGCAGACCAAAGTGGAGAACTTCATCCATGAGGTTTGGTTTACACAATTACTGAAAACATTTATATATATATATATATATATATATATATATATATATATATATTATATACATTCCTAACATGGAATACCGCCGTCTCCCTTAGCAAGAGAAGAGGATCTTCAATAACTTCCACCGTCAGCTCTTTTGTTGGATTGATAAGTGGGTGGAGCTGACCATGGATGACATCAGGCGGATGGAGGCAGAGACACAGAGGGAGCTGGAAGAGGTGAGGGTAATGTTTTTATCCAGGTGTAGCTGTCAAATCACTATAGACATAAGATGAGTAAAAATCAGTCCCTGATAAATTAGGTAGCCCACTTCAAAACAGTTTGTGACTTTCCCCTTTGTTTTTGTATAATACCATGTTCTAAACATATAGCGCTTCCACGCTTTTCACTACTGCTATTGAGAACTACAAATATGACATTCTTGACACTCATTGCGTTTCCATTCCAATACATGGAGGTGGATGATTGACAACTTAATGCAACACAGTTCTCCAATCTGCGCCAACATGCTTCCTAATTCTGTTATTTACTGCTTTCACCCTGTACTGTCAAAGGGGGCTTTGTCCACTATGTCAATATGTACATGTTTGTATGTATTTCCTTTGCAACTCTAATGGTTACTCTGAATAAGTTAACCAATAACACCAGATTGTAGGTAAATAGGACATGTGCTAGGTAGTTCTGCTTTTTGCTGACCCAGCGAAAATCCCCTGTTGGAGTTTGTGTCCGTGTCTGTCACTTATTTGGACGTGGTTGTGTATGTATTACCATAGCATCTGGACAGAACCATCGCAGAATCACACGTGCTGCTGTTTTAAGAAGTAGCCAGCAGTTAATATGCAAACTAGAGCCTCGCCAATCCTTTTTGTGACTCTCATTCTGTGCAAAACTTCAACACTGGTTTTAGCTCGGAAGCACTGTAGGTACTGGGAGGAGCCTGCAATGGCCAAAGTGGACACACTCTTGGAGTAAATAAACGAGCGTGTGCGATCAAAGAGGGACATCCCTCTTTGATCGCACACGCTCGTACAGGCCGACATGCAGACACACCAGGAATGCACCGGTAGAAACAGACACTCGCTGTGGAGAAGATGCACCGACATTCATGTCCGCTCATTTCAGTGTATACTGGTTGAGTGCGGTTGCTATAGAAGGGGGAGGTTCGAGGAGGGGGGGTGGGGCGCAAGATGGCTCCTTTTCCCTCATTAACATACAAATGGATTTCTGCAGTTGAGAAGGAGTCTGTGCTGTGATTGAGAAGAGATGGAAGGAAGGAAGGAGGAAAGGATGAAGAAGTCAGACGGTGAATCTTTGTGCCATTTCATCACATCTCGCTATTCCTCTGTTTAGAGTCACTGTTAGTTTGACCTGTTCCATTAAGGTGTTCGGCTATCAGATTCTAATTGACTTTCCAAAGCCATCAGGGTGGGCGGGAGTTATGGAAAGTGATGCTGTTATCTACCCAGAATAAGGTCCGTTGCAGTAGAGGAAGGGAAGGGAAAAGATTTTTGCAAAATCTATTTTTTTTTTTTCATGGTTTATGATGCAAGAGGTAAAATGTCTTTACACATAATACATAGAAATGATTCCTCAAACTCGTGTGCAGGTCCCAGCAAGAGTTTGTGAAGGGTTCCACTGAAATGCAGGCATCCACTAAACCTGCCTCTCACCTGTTTGCGTTAATCTAATGTGGGGTCTTTTTCCCTCTCTTTGCCCGCAGCTTCGCAGACGGGGGGAAGTACGAGGAACCACTGCTTCAGACAAATGAAGAGGAAAAGCATTTTAAACGCCCAAAACGACGACTGAGAGGCCTCTTTTGGCGCCTCTGCTCTACCACAGCTGATTTAAGCGGTGGTGGTGGTGGGGGGGCTACCTGCGCTACCTGCAATCAATAGAGCAGATCCCTGACTTGCATCCAATCATAGACATTCTAAATAGTGAGGAATTGATTTCAAGAAAGTAACACGATCCCAGCTGATAGGACTGGTTCATTTTGATCTCCTGGGCAGAGCAAGGCCGCCTATCAGCATCACGGTATTGACACGTCCTAACCTGCTGGAGAGACGTGCAGAGGAGTTGTAGTACAGATACATTTTTACGAAAGAAAATTCATTGACACATGATTCCACAGTGACGGGTGTTGGACCAAATATGTATCCTGTTATATTTTCCTTTTTCTAGCATATAATTCCTCTGAAGACGAAGCCGCGGTCGGCTCCTTGGTCTCAACGGCTCTCACTGTGGCCGAGTGGGTCGCGTTCCCCCGCCATGAGTCAGTTCGACGTACTCGTGTCCCTTCCTGCCACAGACTCCATTTAGAGAATTACTACCACCCTTTGCGCCCTCGGCCCCATTGTAATCCTTCCCCCCTCCCCCCAAAGCACTGCATCTTATTAACACTGGCCGATCGTGCCCGAACAGGTATTCACTCTCTCTAATGGATTCAATAGAAACCACCACACGCAGGTGATGCACATACGTCGCTCTGCGAGGATGACCATGGTAATAAATTCTCACACGTACACTCACAGGTGTGGATGCCTTTGCGGTGACTGATCTCTGAAAATCTCAAGATCCATGCAAGCTTGTTCAGCCAAGAGATGCTACGTGCTAAGTGTTCACCCCCCCTCACACCCCCCCCCCCCACACACACACCCTATTTTAAAGTAATTTACACATAACATACCAGACTGCATTCACCTTCCTAACGAAAGTCCGAGAGGAAAGAAACGAGTGAAAAACAGCCACAGATGGTGCTTCACCCCTTGAGCCTCTTGTCACAAGCTAAACTGCACCGCGCTGCTCGCCCGGCGTCACGCAGCCCCCAGAGGCCCGGCTCACTCGTCTGGTTCTCGTTGGTAGGCGGTTTCTGAAAGGTGTCCTCTGTTCTCCTGCATCCTATGTGTGTTTACAAAATGTCTACGAGCCGTTCCAGTGCCCAGGCGACCAGCAGCACCTCGCACTTCTTGCCTTAATCGCAGATCCTATTCTTATTATAACGACTGTACCTCTGCTGTCAGCTATTGTCCCAGCTACCGCCCACTTTTCTGACCGGCCACTCTTGACACCTGAAGGTTAGGACGAGCTTTCGGCCTGCTACTCGTTAGGAGTAAGATTTGTGAGCAAAGTGGTTTGTGATGACTTTATTTTCTACTGAGGGGGGGTAAAAATGGCGCGTGACTCCGTTGTTTCCTGTCGCTGCGACTGAGCCAGCACGTTTCCTCCAGCAAAAAAAAAAAAAAACAAGCAAGTAGCAGCCGGAACAGCTCGCTCACTGCTGTTGGTGCAAATAGCTGATTTCCATCTTTGCCTGAGATCAGCCGTTTGATTGTTATGCCATGTTCATGAATCACGTGTTACCTGCCTACAGTGTTGGTCGTCACTAGTCACATGCGTTCATAGTTCAAGTGGTTGTTCCTTGTAATTTGTGTTTTGGGTTTGTAATTTATCAGTGTCCTAACTTGTGCAGCAGGAAATGGGGATGTTGTTTTCGAGACGCATGCATAATGAAATAATCAGGGTTCAGAGTAAGAAATGCTTGATGTCTGTAAATCCTAATGAAGGAGTGTGATCACTTCTCAGTAATGAGTTATCGGCTTGTCCAAAAAATGGATTTCTAATGTTTACATGAATTCTGCATTTGTAGGCTGGTAATATAGGAACATTTGAAAGGCAACATTTTTCTTGACAAGAAAATCTCAGGTCAACAACACAACAAATATATATTTTTATATCTTTGATCATCAGTTGCCCAAAACGACAGTTTTCCATAGACCGCGCCATATCCTTTTCTGTGGGAACTTTGGTATCACCGGGTGAACATGATGGGGAGGGGTTGTAATATATTTTTATCACTGCGTATGAGCCAGCCAGTGGGTCGGTGTTCCTGTACTTTGATTGTTTTCATGTCTTAAGGAGTGAAGACACAATTGATCTCCAATGTAATCCATTTCAAGCCTGTTTAAACGATTCCTGCGGTCTAAGAAAAACGACCTCAACGTTTTGCCATCAGTTAAGACAATGATTGGTGGGTGTGGGGGGGGGGGGGGGTTCTTGCAAAGCAACTGCAGTCTTCTTAATTATGAAAATTTCAACTTTGATTTCTGAACCGCTTGCTTTTAAATGTTTATGATCAGCTTTTGAAATGTATGATATTTGTGCCTTGTCTTTCTGAGAGCTTGTGTGCCATTAAACTTTCATATTGTATCTAAATATTGAATAAATGTCTGGAGAATACATTTCAGATTGTGCTTGTGTTGTCTGAGTATATACAGGTGGTTGTCTGTGATTGAAGGCTTCACCTAGGGGGACACGAGCTTAGGAGGAAGTCCTCACAACATATCTTTCATACAGCTCTCTGCTAACTTTTAAGTGTGGATGCAAAATCCATTCCTCCAATCTTTATTAAATAAAATGAAAGCCTATTTTAACGTTTTCCACTGTAAAAGGCACTTAAGATGGTACGAACAACCCCCTCGAACAGTTCCCAGTGACTCCAACGTGGACTAGACTCTCCGTGACCTGCAGGTCAGAAGAGTCCCACAATAACAGCGGAATCCGTGCTAAAGAGCAGGAAGAGCTGCCAGTCTGCTGCCTGAGATATCCGCCTGTTTTTATTGTTTGTGGAGGAACGGTCCCATGCGCCGGCTGCGAGGAAACCAGTCATCTGCCCCCAGAACTAGCAAACGATCCTGTTTCTAAAAGCGGAGATGAGCGGTCTCGCCCACACACCTCCTGTTAAGTGGCGGCTCTCAGAAGCCTGTAGTCTACAGTAGGCATGCGTCCATCCAGCCACGTGTCTCCCTCGCAGAGAAGATGAAGGGACGTGTCGTGACCGAGCCCCTGCCGTTTAAATAGACGAGGCGTGAAGAGAAGAAACGGATCTAAAAGGGAGGCTCGAGACTTGACGCAGCAGGACTTCTGGGTACAATGCCAAGGAAAGACTTGACGTTCGGTGCTAAAAACACATTGTGATGGCCGCTGCTCGCTGCTTTCAGCACGAGCAGCGGCCACGATATCCTCAAATAGTTCCCAGAATCAAGAAGCTAGATGCACCCGTTTGTCCCACCACACGGTGACAAGATGACACACTTGTTTCAGACTGAAGATTTAACTCTCCAGGCAGGGCCGTCCCTTCCCTGTGTGTGTGTGTGTGTGTGTGTGTGTGTGTGTGTGTGTGTGTGTGTGTGTGTGTGTGTGAGAGAGAGAGAGAGAGCGCCCTTCCCCTGCAGCCAGACCTGATCGGGGTCGGCGTGTTTTCTTGGAGAGGAAAGTTATTTCTGGTGGGTTGGCAGTGATGTCAGAAGTGTTTCCTCATCCTCTGGGCTCGGGTCATGTTCAGCTCCAGAGATTCTCTGGAGTTTTCCTGTTGTTCTGTGGAAAAGTGGAAAAGGTGTGGAGCCAACCCGACGCGGAGGGTCGGGGGGGCAGGGGAGGGGGGACTCGTGTCTCATCCCTCCACTTAATACAATGGTTCCTTTCTGGATGACAGATGCTGTTTAACCCCCACTGACCCAGGGAGTTGTGATGCTCAGCTGAGTGACGGTGGCCCAAACGGCACAGGACGCTATCCGCCCCCACAACAAGGGAAGGGACCCGATGGTAATATATCTCCATGTGAGGAACACCGTGAATTAAGAGTTAGCAGAGGTGGGTCTCCCCCCCCCTTCTATCTGATCCTATTGACTGAAATATTGAGACAGATTGAGTACTAAATCACCACAGGGAAGAGTGGTGTTGTGACATACTTGGAAGCCTGTAGCCTGTCGATTGTCGTGACTTCGTCTCTGCAGCAGCTCTGAGCTGCATTCATCATCTCTGGGGACGGAGGGCGAAGGAGACCATGCCGCCGGTTTGTCATACTTCACTCGTCCGTCTCCATCTGAGAAGAGTGTGGTCATGTAACCAGGGACGGTATCTCAGGGGTGTTAGTCTTAGTCAGCTGAATGGAATTGTGTGATACAACTATCCTTTAGCAGTTGGGAAATCAACATGAATGAATCCTGGTATTCCTACGGGGCTCCGCATAGCAGCCATGGTTGCCTCGGCTTGAACAGTTAGACATGTGGGCCCACTTTTTTTTTTTTTTTTTTTTTCCTTGTCTGGGTAACACTATAATGATGCTGATTCCACCTGGCTCTCTGATATGAAAGTGATCCTACAGCAAGGTGATACTGAGAAGGTTTTTTTTTTTGTTCCCTCCCAGCAACACGCCACCCATGCACAGCCTTCAGAACATCTCAACAGCTCATCACGCTGCTCCGTCCTTCTGGAAGAGACAGATACTTTACTTTACACCGTGTCTACCTCACAACACAAGCACCGTCTCTCTCCCTGCCCCCCCTCTCTCTCTCTCTCAGCCACTGTCCCTTCAGCTTCAAGGAGTGATACATAATCCAATCCCTTCCAAACTTCTAAATTTACACACACAAACTTCTTCCCGGGCACCTTCCAAAGCCTCGTCCTGACCCGTCTCCATCCTCAGCCCTGTCAAACCGCCCCGTCCTCTGCAGGGCTGAGCAGAGAGCTTGCTTACACACTGTATAGCTAAAATGATCTGAAACATCCACAGCACTACAAATAATTATGAGAAAATGTAGTGTCATGTAAAAAATGCGTATCTATTTCCAAATCCAAGACATTTATTGTAAAATTATAGGACAGTGTATTTTCTATTTACCACACCTGCAGTTGTTCTAGAAGAAAAAGACATTTTAACTGTGATAATGATTTCCCCCTAATACCAAAATAAGGAGATTCAGACTGAACACATATGTATCCTTCTTCTATTTCTACATAATTTCACTATCATATGATAAAAACTGTCATATAAAGGGATTATGGATACATGCTAAATTATTTCACACTTTCCACTTTGTCTCACAAGTGCTTTATATGAATTATGAACCCATTTGTAGTGTTTCTAGTCTAGTTTTTAGATTAACATTACGATTTGTCAAATCGTATTTACAGCATGTCCTGGTTTAGACCTATGCCTCCTTTCTATAAGTTGTATAGAGTGCGTGAGCGTTGGCCGCCGCTAGGTGGCACTGTGTCCGTTTGGTAAAGTCCACTTCATTTCCCCCCCAAAAGTGCAGAGACGTCTGCCACCAACTTCTGTAAATGTCCACTGTCCCCACTGCCGGGGACATTATAATACGACGTTCTCGTTTCACTAAAGAAACTGTCCCTTCTAGTGAAATGGAATTATATTTGTATTCAGTATTCCCAAATGTTGCCTTTTATTTGAAATAAATTAGTTTTGTTAATCTTATGAGGCCAGATTCCCCGAACGCAAACAATCAAAAATAATTGCAGGATCTATTATTTGAAACTATGACCGCTAACGCCAAACAGTTTAAATTTGACACGCGAAAATTGCATGTGAACTTGGTCACTTCAATATTCACCAGGGAAAGAAGGTCCAGGGTGTCTCCGAAATCCACAACCGACTATATGAAGACACTAAAAGACGCAGACAGAGACTCAAGAGCTACAGACGACATGAACACACATTCTTAATTACATAACAATGAATACACCATCCGAAACGTGCCTGAGGAAAAACTCAAGGCTATGGTGTGCAATTAAATGAAATATAAATCTTCTTAAAATGACTACTATGTCTGAATTCCTTATATTCGGATTTTTTAATTAAACGCACGAACCTGAAGATGAACCATTTGCAATATTTGAATATCTTATCTCGGGTTGTTGCACCACTTAACCTTCCACAGATAACTTCGGCCTTTGTAGGCCTGCGGCTAATTAACCTATAAAGTAACTTATCCTAATTTAACCTTTGAAATTTGTTCTATTTCACAGATTATAACACTGAGAGAATGCTATTGACTATCGGAACCGAAGCCCAATATCGTCCACATGATTTAGTTCAGATGGTCTTTTAAGGAGGATTTTCTTCCCGTTGGGACACAAATTCACACGACTGGGGCCAGATTGATTGGACACACACACACACACACACACACACACACACACACACACACACACACACACACACACACACACACACACACACACACACACACGCGCGCGATAATATGGATCTATTTCCTTCCACCAAGGTTCAATATATTTACGTAACGTATATGATTGGCCATCATATCTCTGCAAATCCATCTACTGAGTACAATATTTACTATATCACCATTCAGCACATACACACCTGAACAGGGTGGATTCACAGTGTTCATTGCGAGACCGTCTCTCATTTATAAATCTTTTAAAGAGCTTCGCTCGTCTTTTCCTTCAACAATCGCTTGTTGTTATTGGTGCAAGTTATCACATTGAGCTTTATGTTGTTGTAATGAAATGTTAATGCCAAACGAAGTACTGATCACTTCTCAGATGAGTGTGTGCAGCGCTAAAGTTTGTTCATAAGGGAAGAGGACTGATCGGCACGATGTTGAAATCCACTTCATTCTCCTGCGGAGGAAACGAGAGTTTCAGAACTGTATCCATCACCTCGATTGTTGTAGACCGCAATTCTGTGGCAAAGAAATAAATCGTTTTGGAAGAAAACAGAATATTCAAACGGGATGGACGGTTTTAATGTGCAAAATACTGCGCTATTTCGTCAAAAACATTACATTTCAAGTAAAAGCCATATCTTACGTCCGATTTTTTATTTTTTGCGCAATCCCATGGACCACCTTAAAAGCGTTTGTCCCGCCCTGGAAGCTTTCTACGGGCCTTCTGATTGGCGGAGGGTTCATTGATGGAAGCGGCTGCAAAAATGCAAAACTTGTTGAAGGCTCACACAGCGCCAAGCGGCAGGGCGAAGTGAGAGTGTGTCTGTGAATCGCTCCAAAGTGCACTCAGACCACACCAGGCACGACTCGGCACACGGAGGGACGCGCACGTTAGGAGCGAAACGCACCGCGAGGACTTCAGGCAAAAGGCGCTTCTCTGCGAGGCGCGCGACCGGCAGCGGGCGAAGGATGCTGTGCAGCAGCTCCGTGGTTGTGGAGTGCGGGTAGTGCACGCCGCGCTGCTCCGGGTCCAGGTCGCGTTAACGGACGCTCCGGTTCTCCGGTGCCTGGGTTGGAGATTGTGGACTTTCGATCACATTGGACTTTTGAGCTACATGTCTGCTTGGCAGTTAGCGTGATATTGAAAGACATTAGAAGAAAGTGTTTATTTCAAGAAATCTTTTTTTTTTTCTGCTCTAAGGCTGCAGGGGTAGTTTAAACTATCCGGCTCATATTGGACTTTTTCCTCTTTTTTTCCAGTATGGGACCTTATACAAAAAGTCGCTCCGGGACTTTTGACTTTTGACATTGGACTGGAATAAACAATTAATAGCTGACATAAATTGTCATATTACCTGTTCGATCGCTCCCGATCTTTTAGTTCGTCAAGGAGATGCTTTTTTGTCACGTTCGCGCCGAAGAAAAGCGCACAGAAAAACTTTGGACTATGGTAGGTTACCCGTGCAGCAAGTTAAACAACAGTGTTCTATGTGCGTTTGCTTAATCAAAGACAAAAGGCAGAGCCGTCAAATGCGCGCATAAACACGGGAGCCGGAACACAGTTTGCGTGCGTATTTGGACAGTCTATTCCCTCTCGCGCCCGCGTCCTTGGAGAAGTTGAAAAACAAAAAACAATTGATGAAACGCAATGATTAACTTATTTCACGCGTTTCAACATTTAAAGAATACAAATCAGTTTGATCATTAGACATTTGAACAATTTCTTTATATCTTTTTTTTTCCTTTTGGGGACAGACTGTAAAAAAAAACAAAAAAAAACAGACAGTGCGCTGATGTCAGGCAAACTGGCCGTCATGTGGGATTGATTGCAGGGGAGTATGTTTGGGCTGGAGCAGTTTGCTTCTCAGATTAATAGCAGAAACCCTCGCCAATCAGAGAGAAACATAAACCTATCGAGACTGAACATGGGCTCTCATTATAAAAGTCCGGGTTTTCACGCTGGCGGCCCGCCGGGAGCCGTGGAACCCGGCATGGGCTCTCTGAGCGAACCGCAAATGCTCGGGCTCAATATGAACATGAACGGAGAACAGTACGGGGGCTTTCACCCGCGGGGCCACTCGGACATGCATGCAGGCAGCGGACTTCAGCAGCAGCAGCAGCAAGGACCCATGCATGGATTTTTTAACAACCAGCAACCTCACCAAGGGCATCCTCACGGCCATCAACCTCACCCCCACCAACCTCACCCTCATTTCGGTGGAAATTTTGGAGGCCCAGAGCCAGGATCATCATGTCTGCATGGTGGCCGGCTAATGGGCTACAACAACAATGGCATGGGACCACAGCAGGGCTTTGGAGAAGGATTTGATCCTCTCGCTGAGGCGCAGGCAGGGGATGGCTTTCCCCCGCAGCAGCAGCAGCAACAGCAGCAACGGCCTGGTAACATGCCTGACTTTCAACATCACGGCCCTCCCAGTGTCAGCCATGCGGTCCCCGCCCCCTGTCTACCCTTGGACCAGTCACCTAACAGAGCAGCATCCTTCCACGGTCTCCCGTCCTCCTCATCCTCCTCCTCTGAGTCTCACGGCCTAGAGTCTCGGCGAATGCCCAACCAGGGAGCTGTAGAGGGATTAGAGTATAACTTCCCAAGTGAGCCCCCATCTGGACATTTTGATGTACATGTATTTTCCCCATCAGAATCAGAATCTCAGATACCCCATTTTGGCCCAGGAAGGCCTGTCCCCAGTGCTAATTTCCCAGGGAACCCTGGCATGCCACGGACCTCAGGTATGCCGGGCATCCCTAAGGGACACCAGCCGCCACCACAGCCCCAGCAACCCCAGCAGCCTCAGCATGGAGTGTTTTTTGAGCGTTTTGGAAATGGTCGTAAGGTGCCCGTGGGAATCGAGCCGGGGGTCAATGCAAGACATTCTCTCATGCAGCAGCAGCAACAACAAGCTGGCTTGATAGCCAGACAGAATTCATGCCCCCCTGGCCTCCCCCGACCCCCTCAGGCCGAGCCTGGCGCTACTAACCCTAACATTCTGGATGGAGGGGTCATGATGCCTGGCCCACACAACCAGTTTGAGTATCCCATTCACAGACTGGAAAATAGGGGTATGCACCCCTATGGGGACCCCATGTTTAATATGCAACAACCAGCTCCTCCCCCCTCCCAACAACCGCCAAATCAGAGGCTGCAACACTTTGACTCTCCTTATATGAACATGGCGAAAAGACCGCGATTTGACTTTCCGAATGCACATGGCGGTGAAGGCTGGTGTGGTGGAATGGATAACCACCTCTCTCCCTCTGCATATGCCGGCCTACCTGGTGAGTTCACCCCACCTGTGAGTGAAGGCTTCCCACCAGGTCCCCTTCAGCATCCAGGGCCTGAGCAGCAGTCTCTACAGCAGCGGCAGAATGCAGCCATGATGATAAAACAAATGGCATCGCGCAACCAACAGCAGAGAATGAGGCAGCCCAGTCTGCAGCAGCTGGGTCACCATGGCGATGTACCTCCTGGCCCAATGACTCACGGAGGCCCAGTGGGGAACATGCCCCAACCCGGCTTTGACAGGGAGAATGCTGGCAGGATGCCCAACATTGATGGACAAAATCCTCATGTAACTCAGGAGAACTCCTGGTTTCAAGGGAACCACCCACCAGGGGAGATGATGTCACGGCGCATGGGTGGAGCGGGTAATGAATCGGGGCCCCATGACATGGGGCTACAGCAAAACGGAGCCGGAATGATCTTTAGGCCAGGCATGGGCATGCAGGAGCCCATGAGAATACCAGGAGATGGTCATGTACAGGCTCTCCATTCCCCGGGCATGCACTCACAATTCAGCGGCAACATGGGCAATCTCTCACAAATGCAGTCGCCAGGAGCGGGAACGGGGCATCCGAATGCCCCAGCAGAGAGGCGGGCAGCTGAATTTCCTGCACCTCCGATGGGAGCACAGCCAACTTTTCCCTATGGGGGGGCTAACCGTCAGGGTCCTGCCCACAGCGCTCCCCAGGGGGTGAACACATCACCAGCGAGCTACCCTTCTCAGTCTGAGTTCCCCCCAGGCCAGCGGCCGTCTGTTAGTAAGCTGGGAGCTCTCTCCCTCGGGAACTTCAGCAAAACCAGCGCTAAAGACAGTGTTTTTGGCCAGAGCTGCCTGGCGGCCCTGTCCACGGCTTGCCAGAACATGATTGCTAGCCTTGGGGCCCCCAATCTTAACGTTACCTTCAACAAGAAGAACCAAAATGAGGGCAAGCGAAAATTGAGTCAGACAGAGCAGGACATTAATAGCAGCACATCTAATGGGACTGGCAGTGCTGGACCTGAATATTTTCAGAGTAGCACTTCCCAGAACAGCCAGATGCCTGGCACTGGGAATAGCAACTCTAAGCCCACAAGTCAAAGCCAGACGGTGCAGGGGGAAGCCAGTGCCCTCTCCCCAAATTACAACATGGACGCTACCCCATGCAGTGAGGGGAAGGCAACAACAGGGAGTGGGAGAGGGAGAGGCAGGAGAAAAAGAGACAGTGGTCATGTGAGCCCTGGAATTTTTTTTTCCCCTGACAATGGTAACCCTGTTGTAAGTCCAGGCCAGCAGACCCCCTCTGCTGGTGTTGGGGAGAGGGGTGGGGGTACACCCCATGAGAAACACCTCCAATCACCGTCTTGGGGAAAAGGAGGAGACCTAATGTTGGGGGATCAGGCCGATTTGATGTCTTCCTTGGACAGTGGCATTCAAAGTGTTGCCAAGTCTGAAAGTAGCTCACCGCGGGTGGACTTTCCTGACGATGTCAGCACCCACTACGGCAACGAGGACGAGGTGTCCTCCAGCTCGGATGCGGGAGGCGCCTCTGCCTCCAAGTCTAATCGCAGCCCTATGATCACAGGCTCCCCCAAAATGCAGAGGAGTGACCATGGCTTGATGAACGGACAGAAGCCTTTAGGCATGGGCATTAACAATCACACTACCTCGCCGCCAGACAGCTACGGACTGAATGCTGGTGGGGGCACAGGGGCCAGCGGGGTGAGCCACCCAGGCACTCCTGGGGTGGAGCAGGTACGCACTCCATCCAGCACCTCTGGTCAGGAGGAAATCCACCCGCTAGAGATTCTGCAGGCCCAGATACAGCTACAGCGGCAGCAATTCAGTATCTCTGAGGACCAGCCCCTGGCCATGAAAAATGGCAAAAAGAATGGTGACTGTCCCTCACAGAACGGAGACAATGAGCTGGCAGGCTGCAGTCCCGATGCTGGGAAGGGCTCAATGGGCACTATTGACCTTGACACCCTCATGGCAGAGCAGCACGCCACCTGGTACGTGCCCAGTGACAAGGCCATGATGGACGGGTCAGAAGATGACAAGGCCATGGGACCATGGGAAAAGAACAAGGGCCAAAACAGCAGCAAAGAAGGTAAATAAACAGTTTTGTCTCTTTTGTTATATTTTACTCATGTACATTCCCTTCTTTCTTTCTCCTTAACTCCCTCTCAAAAATGCAACACAGACTTCACAAAATGATCAATTTTGCTCAATAATTTAGTTTACATTTGAGAATTTCTTCCCTTAAAATGTTAATTACTTGATCAGAAATGCAGTGTAATATCACATACATAATAGATTAAATGCTCTGTTAACGCTGATAATGAAGGACCTTTTGTGCATATTTCTCCGCGAGAAAGCAGCCGTCTCTATTTAACTAGAGCATTTCAATTTGAGTGGTTTAGCCTACAGAAAGAGCACATTGAATGGTCTTTACAAAGAAATTAAAAGAATAATATTCATGCGGTATTTCTCTTGTTAAATTGTGTCCGTTTTTTTTTTCACCGTGGAGCTTTTAAATGCCATCCGACCAGCAAACGAACCACAGTGTATTTGTCTACGTGTCTTCATTGTATAGGCACTTCAAAAGAACAGCTCAAGTAAAGTAAACATTTCCTGAGGTTCTTTATCTGGGTTTTCAGGGTGAACAACTACATTGAGAAGATTAATAGCTTTTTGAGGATATGCGTTAGCGCAGCGGGGTTCCCCTCGCCTCGGTACGTGTTTGTTTTTGTTATTACCATGGAATAATACAGAGCTGGTGAAAGTGGATTGATTTTAGATTGGCAGGAAAGGATTTCAAGGATTAGATAGGATGGAGGAATGAATACAGCCATTCAATATCTATTTACATTTTCCATGGGAAATATTTAATTTACTTTTAATAGTTTGTGTTTCGAAATTGTAGTTCGAATGTTGTTAAGTAGGTTATATATATATTTCATAATATATATGAATGTAGCGTACAAATATTGTGGCAGTAATTTAGGAGTCTTTAGAATAAAAAGTTTCTAAAAGAAAATGTAAATTGTTCTGGCCTCAAGTAAGCGATGCAGTTTTCTTAACGGAGACGGAGATATTACAGTCTGTATATGAAGGTTCGTGGTTTCATGTTGTTTTATTTTATTGTTTTCATGTTCGGTCTAAAATCATAACAGGGATATATTTTCACCTGTACTTTGCTGCAGATTAATTTCGTTAATTATCTTGCGTATAACAGTAATACTATTAACGATAATCAAAGTAGTTAATATTCTTATGAATACTACTTTATTATTATTATTATTGTATCGTTGCTTTTATTCATATGAATCATATCAATTTATATGCATCATAATTGCTGAATTAGGTAATTGCATTAATTAAATGCGGTTGGATATTTCCTTTTATTAATGCCTATTTATTCAGTAATGTTTTCCTTTTTTTCTTTTCGTTAGCTGTTCCCAAATAAATTCCGACCAAAGCAGCAAATATGGTTGATTTGCTGCCTGCCAGAAAATGTGGCCGAAGTGCGTGTTGTCGTGGATAACCTACTGAAAGCGCCGTGGATGCGTGGATATAAGATGCATTTAAACGTGGGGAGCACCGAGCGCGTGAGCGCCTCTTTGTCCTGATCCTTGCGGGTGCAGAGAGGCGCGGGGGCGCGCACCGCGCGGAGCGTCCAGGCGCATTGTTTATACGAGACTGAGCACAGGGTGTCGGGTACTAACACCGATGCCATTAGGTCGGAGATGTGACTAATATCACCGGGCGCAACGATTGTAAATCAGCAGAAAAATAACGTGTAGTTTAAACTTCCTTTTTAATTTGATTGAGAATTATTAAAGCACATTCCACCTCAGGCAGGTATTTGTTCTCCTTCACAAATGGCGCTCACGGTCCTCAGCTAAATCAGAGGAGTAGTGACAAGACTATTGAACAATGTGGCTTTTTTCCCTTCCTATTAGTTAGTCGATATCTATCTATCTATCTGTTGATCTAGCTATCTATCTATAAATACATGTGTGTGTGTGTGTGTGTGTGTGTGTGTGTGTGTGTGTGTGTGTGTGTGTGTGTGTGTATATGACCCCCCCTCCCAAAAGAAGCCAGCATTTAGTGTGTCAACAGTGAAATAAGCCTTCTGATGCCAAGTGATGATAAGTAGCCTAATATAATCACTCTGGATATTGATTAATGAGTATTATTTTGAGTCGGAAACCCAACTCTGATAAGCAGTCAGCCCCGGTCGCCCTGTTGCTCTCACTCTTTTAATTTCTCTTTTGCTGATAACACGTTTAATAACATAACTATCAGTGGGTATTTAAACGTAGAATAGTCCAATTTCTGCTCTCATTTCCTCTCCCCTCCTTTCTATTTCCATCTCCTGTCTCCTTCTCTCCTCCCTCAGCCCTCCCTGCATTGGACACGAGGCATGCAGCTCTGGAGCGATCGATAGCTAGTTAGCACAAATCACTGCTCCTGACAGTTTCTCATTTGAGTGCTTCAGACAGCAAAGATGAAAAAAGGGTGGAGGTGTATTTGGGAGGGGAGGAGGGGGATTTCGAGATTGAATCTGATGCTTTGGCGACACAGAAGGGAGCAAAATAACATAATAATTTAAGATAAGTCATAGCCCACAGAGTAGTTCCTTAAAAGCAGCATCCCACAGGCGTTTTACACTGCAAGAAACATCCAACTTTACCAGTCAGTCTAGTCCTCTGCACGCAACAATATGCAACACTTTTGCAGATACTGTCAGTTACGCTAATTTGAAATAAATCAGGCCGATTCATAAGATAAAATTGTTAAAAGGAAGAAAATTGATTGATGTAATGCCAGTGAAGGCGCAACTGTTTATAATTACTTAAAAACATTTTTGTTATCATCTTGATATTATCAGGATTATTTATTCTCTAAAATACCCAAATATTAAACATTTTTCAATTAAATTAATTGTAACAGAAATTAGAGTACTTTTTCATTCAGCTCATAACTACAATGTTAGTTAAATATGAGATGTTTCTGACGAGGGTTAAGATTTGGATTTGAGATCTCAAACATTATGATTATTTGTTGCATTTAATTTAATTCAATTTTTTTTTAATCGCTGCTGATAACAGGTGTACTTTTAATGATGAAAATGTTAACACCTGAATCACGCTTTGGTGTGTACTTTGGTGCTGCACAGGAGTTTACTGCAGATTGCAGTAGATTGCAGGTTGCACTCAGTTAATGTTTCCATCGCTCTTTTAGTTCTTCGCTAGAAGTGTTTCAGGTGACGTTGTGTAAAACTTCAGATCATTTTGTTGATTGTGTTAACGCTGTAAGCAAAAGAGGCTGCAGGAGTCACAAATCATCCCATGATTCAAATAAGAAATGTAATCTTTAGCCTTCCTGGGAACGTTTGAATGTAACCAATAGCTGAAACTGTTCTTATTGTAGAGGACTCTCATTCTGTTCACCCAGTGGATCCCACCTCCCTCTCTCTCGGCCCCCTGCTCGCTTGCTCAAAGTGATGGGTGCTGCAGTAAGGACCCCCTTTGGACCCCATATTTGGCCTCCTCGCTTTGTAACAGCATGTAGCACAAGTCTTGTGTGCGAATGCGCTTCTTGTGCTGAGGGAAAGAGCAGAGGTGCACACAGCAACTTTTCCTTGTACGGTGTCAGTTAATACCATTTCCCCCTTTTAAATATGTCTTTTTGCGCTCTTCCTCTTCCCTTCTCATCAGTATATCTTAGCCAGTGCCGGCAGTTTATTTGGAAACTCATGCACAGCGTTGATAACAGGCAACCAGCAGGCGAAGGAAGTGATTCAGTTATTTTTACTTTTTTTGCCACACGCACCTACTTTTTTTTTTTTTTTTTACCAGCACAGTTAAGACATTTCATTGTTAACCTCGTGGAACAGTCTTTCCCTTGACTCTCAGAAATCAGCCTGTAAAACGCTCTAATCCTGATCAAATCTCTTTTGCTCTGACTTTGACAGGTTTGAAAAGAGGGAACTTGCATCTTATCACACCTACTAGAAAGCACTTAAATCCAATGAAAGAGGCGTGTTGATTTTCCACCGTGGAGAACAATCCTGTGAGACCACCTGCCTTTGACATTTCAGTACGACAACAACCCCACAAATCACACCAGTAATTTCTATTTCTTTTTTTTTTCTTTCTAAAAAAAGGTATAAAGTGATTGGCACATACTTGAATGTGGAAAACAGCCCGGGGCCGTCTATGTTCTTTACCTGTCATTACCAGTTGTTTCGTATCGACTCTACAACAGCACACACCCACTAAGCTCCTTACACACTCGTACACTGCAATAATGATAATCATTATGATAATCATAGCAATTAGCCCTGGTATTATTGTTTCCCAAAGTCATAATTCATTCTCAGGCTCCTTTTTAAGTGGACTTGGTTACTGACGTATTGTGCGTGGCTACGTAGAAACAGCGAGTTTATGTCATTAGGCGCTCAGTTCAGCGACATATATACATGGTTTGAATGTTGTTGTTTTTTAGAAACGAACGTCCTCCTCAACAACAGAGAAATCATTTTCCTGTTATGTCGTATTTCTGCTCTCACTGCATGTTTTAGATTTTTTACTGGTATGCACGAGAGTGTGTGACGAAGGGCAGGTTTGTAGACACTGCAACTTGATATGGTGGATTTGTCAGGTGAAGACATACAGTTTGATTTATTTAGACTCCGTCAGGCTCAACAGCTCCAGCGCCCGATCTCAGGTGTCTCGCTCGGCGGAGCACGCTCACTTAATACTAATGTGTTGAAAATATTTAAGAGTATTTACTCGAGTTGTAAATCGTGCAGGACTGAAAAGCACCCATCATGCATTTAAAGTGTCTGGAATATAAGACTGCATTTGTGGGTGTGTGTATTCGTGTTTGTTTATATGCTATCTGTTTGTGTGTGCAAGTTCTCAGGCTCTTTGCAAGACATTGAGCACTAGTGACAGTCAAAGGAAGCCCATTAAAAAGCGTGTTGGTGACTGATGAAGAGAGGAAAAAAATGAACAAAGGTGTCAGGCCTTGCTGGATTTTCAACTCTTCAAAATAGCAGCTCATCCGGTGTTTTGTTTTCCCCTGGGAAGGCTGTTG